CCCCTCGCGGGGGGAGGGGTCTGACCACTGGGCTGCTTGCCTTTCGGGCTGCAGCCCCCACGCCCGTGACACTTAGCACGACTGCCATTGCTCCACAACTTGCAAGAACGACGGCCCCAACCTGGCATCGTCCGAAAGAAATTGTCCGGTGCAACGTGGGGCCTACACCCCAATACTGTACCGAACTTAGCTGGTGGGGCTCCAATCCCCCAGTGCCGAAATAACTCTGTCGTGAGCGAAACTACGGACTTAAGCCAAAATGGCTACGGCCTCCTCCTCCTCCTCCTCCTCCTCCCTCCCTGGGCTCGCCGCCGACTCTGGCAGCGGCCAGAGGTCTTGGCCCGCCGTGGACGACGACGGCCGGCGACGACGCCAACGGCGACGCCAACGGCACCGAGGACGAGGACAGCTCCTCCTGCAAGAAGACGACGAAGACGACGGCGACGGCGCCGGGGTCGACGTCGACGGCACCGAGGGCAAGGACGGCTTCGAGGACGAGGTCGACGAACGACGGTGCAGACTCCGCAGCTGCCGCTGATGAGTGTTGCTGCCCCTTGTTCGTGGCTGACCACGTTGCTCCGTCATCGCCCCCCGTCCTTCCTCCCTCCTCCAGGCTTCCCCCGGAGGACGACGACCTGGGAGAATGTGGATCACAATGGAAAACAACACAACAAGATGTGCGAGCCAGTGATTCGCTGTGGTCTGGGGCCACGCTGACATGAATCATGGCTCTTTGCTTCGAGTCAGAGACTCCCGGAGGCGTTTGCCGGGAGGACGACTTTCGCCGTGCGACGGCGGGGCAGCTCAAGGGAAACCATGCCGCCCGTCATCGACACCATCTTTCCGCCGGATTCGCACAGGGTCAGAAGGAGGATGAAACGAGGAATGGAAAGGGGAGGGAGGAGCGGGGTGGGTCATAAAACCATCCCGCCCCCACCTGTACTGCAGTGATGCTGAACAGGCCCACGCTAGACGTCGGGAGAACTGCGCACGTGAAGGGCACCTTCCCCTTGGCGTGGGGAATCGAAACGCGCCTCTAGCACAACCTCTTCAGCACAATACGAACTCGAGGTGAGGAATAAAACTGGCACGCTCCTACGATCGGCAGGAACACATGACTTTAATGGTGGGGAACTTTGTGGGCCCCGGAAACGGCAGGGCCGTTTTTTGCCGTTCCCAAAAAATGTCCCTTGAAAACTGAAACGGCAACAAAAGCAGCGACCGGAAACGGCAAAAAAACGGCTCCATGGATTGGAACCGGAGCCGGAACCTGTCAAACAACGGCGACGGAACCGGTAAAAAACGGCGCCGGAACTGGCGAAAAAACGGCGAAACGGAACGGGTGAAAAAACGGCCCTGTCGTTTCCAGGGCCCACTAAGTCTAGAACACTCTCTTCAACACAATACGAACTGGAGGTGAGGAATAAAACTAGCACGCTTCTACGATCGGCAGGAAAACATGACTGTAATATGGTGGGGAAGACGAGCGGGGAGAGAGGGAAACCAGCCTCCGACTGTACAGTCGGACCTAACACTAAGCAACATCCTTCAAGGACACGAGGCCCTCCGCTGGCCACAGCACCCCCCGAACCACAAGATCTCACTCGAGGGCACCCCCCTCCCCCCAGGATGCACCAGAGCATCCAGCAAGGCACGAAGATCATCAGCGCACCTCCCCGAACCGACCTCGATCGGATCCTTCGATCCGACCCCGCGCTCCTCACGGCATTGCACCCCCTGCGCCGTCGCACTCGCTCCTGCGCTTCTGCACCGAGGATGTTGCCCGATCTGCGCTGCCGCGGCTCCCCGAGGGCCAGCTGGGGCCCTCGATCCTGCATGCCTGCTCCCCCAGGGGGTCGATGATGATGATGATGATGATGATGATGATGATGATGATGATGATGATGATGATGATGATGATGATGATGACGATGCTGATGCTGATGATGATGATGATGATGATGATGATGATGATGATGATGATGATGATGCTGATGCTGATGCTGATGCTGATGATGATGATGATAATGATGATGCGGATGCTGATGTTGATGGTGGTGATGATGATGCTGATGCTGATGCTGATGATGATGATGACGATGCTGATGATGATGATGATGATGATGATGATGCTGCTGCTGCTGACGATGATGATGATGATGATGATGATGATGATGATGATGATGATGATGATGATGATGATGATGATGATGATGATGATGATGATGATGATGATGATGATGATGATGATGATGATGATGATGATGATGATGATGATGCTGCTGCTGCTGATGATGATGGCTCCCCGTGAGCCAACCGAGGACCTCGATCCTGCGCGCCTGCTCCCTGGGGGGGCCCCAAACCGTGCGGTGACGCATCCCGCGGCGGCTTCGAGAGCCCCACGAGGTCTCCCCGCGCGGTCCACCTCCGCGTGGTCCTGGGACCTCGGAGGCCCCGGCCGCCCGAGGCGTCCTCCGAGCACGGCGCGACCCGAGTCCTGGCACCGGAGGAGGAGGAGGAGGAGGAGGAGGAGGAGGAGGAGGAGAAGGAGGAGGAGGAGGAGGAGCACGAGGAGGAGCACGAGGAGGAGGAAGAGGAGGAGGAGGAGGAGGAAGAGCAGGAGGAGGAGGAGGAGCAGGAGGAGGAGGGGGAGGACGCGGAGGCGGAGGCGGAGGCGGCGGTCCTGGCACCGTGCGGTGACCCCGAATCCCCACTGACTCACCACGCGGTGTTGTCACCACGCCGCTTGGGGGGCCCTGGCTGCACCCCGTGGGCGTCGCTTCATGGGGGGAAGCGGGCGATCCATGGGGGCGGCGTAAGGTGCACTCCGCGGGCCCCGGAGGACCCCTTCCGGGCCCGAAGGGCCCCTTCCAGGGGCCCGACGAGGGCCCCTTTCAGGGGCCCTGAAAGAGCCCCTTTCCTGCAACCCTCACTGTCTCCCCCATTCATCGCCCACCTCCATCACGCGATGCCCGAACCCCACCGCCGCCAACGCGCGCCGCGGGACGGCCTGGGCCTGCCGTGAGAACGCGCGCACCGGCGCCGGCGCCGAGAAGTGCGCGGCTGGGCCGGAACTCCGCCAATCGCGCGCCGAGAGGCCGTTTCCAGGGGTCCTCACTGGAGCGTCTGCCATCCGCGCCGCCGCCGCGCTGACCCCGAAACTGCTCGGGGGCGCGCAAACATGGATCAGCGATCCATGGATTTGGCCCGCGGCCGCCAAGTCCATGAATCGGGGGAGGTGCCCTCCCCAAACTGCGACCGGTGCCGCCTCGTTCGGCGGCAGGAATCTGCGATCTCCCATGGAAACGGGACCCGTCGCTAATCCACGCCCCCCTGATCCTTGTTTGCGATCGACTGACATATGCGGTCGCTGCAACAACCCCGCCAGTCCTCTGGGCGGGAGGTGGTGTAGAGCGCCTCCTTCCTCCAACCCCTTCCTCCACTTCGGGGAGGGGTCTCCCTACAGGCGGACTTTGGACGAAAATTAAAAAATACTAGCAAATGCTCAAACGTATTCAACACATGGTTCACGTTGTCGATCCTTGATCCTGTTGGCGATCGCCTGAGAAACTGCGCGAAACCGCGGCGTGTAGCGGCTGGTTCCTCCCCCTCGCTGCGCTCGCCGTGCCCGGCGGCCTCTGGGCTGGGCAGGAGGTCGCCCTTCGGGGACCTGCGAAATCCGGGTCAATCCGACCCGGGCCAGCAGGAAACCAAGGACTGCAGTGCAAGGAAAATAAAGCTGCCACGCCGGGCTTCGCAAACCCGGGTCAGCCAATGTGCGCGGTCGCCTCGCGGCCACGAGCGGCTCGCTCACCCGGGTGAGCCAGGCCCGGGGGGGTCTTCGCAGGATCCTACAGGATCCGGTGCCCTGTCGGGTCGGGCGAAAGGGGGGGATAGCAAAGGGGTTGAGAATCAGCTCACGTAGCTGATTTCCCCGGCGCCTCCCAGCGCCGGGGGCGGCTATGTGTCGAGGAATGGCCCCCTCGGTGAGGCCGAAACCAGCTGCATGCAGCAAATTTCGTACCCCCCCCTTTCCCAATCCCCCCTTTCGCCCGGCCCGACCCTGGCTGACCCCCGTGCGCATTGACCCGCGTCTCAAGGCTCCCGAGCCCTCACCTCCTGGAGGTCGCCGGGCCGAGCTGACGACGGGAAGGGCCAGTCTTTCTCCCTGCTGCTGGCTGCAGGCCCGCTTCTGTCCTCTCTTTCGCGACTTGTTTCTAAAACAGATGTACAAAGAAAGAGAAAGAGAGAGAGGTAAAATCAAACAGATAACTACACATATATCTCCTACATATACATAAATGTAATTAGAGAGAGAGAGAGAGAGAGAGAGAGAGAGCTGCAGCGAAAAACATAGAGAAAGAAACACAGAGAGAGAGAGAGAACGAGAGACGAACAGAGAGAGGGAGCGGGCGAGCAGGAGAAATAGGGAGAGAGCGGCATGGGGGGAGAGCGGATCCGAAGCGGACCAAGTGGAAAAAGGGCGGAGAAGAGGAGAGCCTTCTCCTCTTCCTCCTCTGCCTCCTTTTCCTCCTCCTCCTCCTCATCCGCCTACCTCATCCAGCTACCCCTCAGCTCTCTCCACCTCCTCCCTCCTCTTCCCTGTGCCCCCTAAACCCTTATCCCTCATCCCTCCTTCCTACTCCGCCCCTCCTCTACCTCCTCTCCTTTCCTCTTGCTCCCTCCTCCTTCTTCGCATGCCCCTCCTCTTCATCGTCATCCACTTCCCCCCCTCTTCCTACTCATCCTCATGCCCCTCCTCCTTTCTCCACCCCCGCCTCACTCCATCTCCTCCCCCTTGGTCCCCCCATCCTTCCTGTCCTCCTCCTCCTCCTCCTCCTCCTCCTCCTCTTCCTCCTCCTCCTCCTCCTCCTCCTCCTCTCATCTCCACCTTCCCTCTGAGGGAGCGACGGTGAGAAAGTCGAAAACTCGTCGACGGCGACGACGACGGCTGCGGCGGACGGCGGCGACGAGCTGCTCGCCGGCGGGGGGCCGGTCTCCTCGAAGCGCGCCACCCCGTCGGTGCCGGGCGTGCTGATGGTGTCCTCGGAGGCGCGAGCGAGGCCCGAGCAGGAGACCAGGGCGGGGGGATCTCCAGGAGGAGGTTCTGGAGGTAGGAGGAGGAGAAGGAGGAGGAGGAGGAGGAGGAGGAGGAGGAGGAGGGGAAGGAGGAAGAGGAAGAGGAGGATGAGGAGGAGGAGGAGGAGGAGGAGGGGGAGGAGGAGGGATGAGGAGGAGGAGGAGGAGGAGGAGGAGGAGGGGGAGGAGGAGGAGGAGGAGGGAGGCGAGGGGAGACAAGGATGAGAAGAAAGGGCCCTCGTGGCTCAGGAGGAGCATTCTCCTGCCCCTCCCTCCTTCTGCAGCTTACCCTCATCATCCTGTTCCTCCTGGTTATCATCTCATCCTGCTCGCGTCCCCCTCACCGCCACCCATGGAAGGGGGACGTGGATGAGGAGGAGCAGGAGGAGGGGGAAACAAGGAGTCGGTCACGAGGGTCATCGCATCAATGAGCCACTGCAACTGAATACAACAAAATGGTGATTCACTTGAGATTAAATCACGGAGGAACGCGGAGGCGAAGCGGGCGGTCAGGCGTAGGATGAGAATATTAGAAGGATATGCGGCTGATGATAATTATGATGGTGCTACAGCTGCTGACGATGAATGTGATGTGTTCTTGATGGTGCGAACGGTGATGATGGCAATGATGATGGCTATGACTATGAAGATGATTAAGATGCTGCTGATGATGATGACGATGACGATGATGATCCGATGGTAATGGTGTTGCTGCTGATGATGGTCATACTATTTATAATGATGATGATGATGATGATGATGATGATGATGATGATGATGATAATAGTGGTAGTAATGGTGACGATGGTAATGGTCATGATGGTAATGATGGTAATGATGTGTTTGATGATGAGGATGAGTATGGTGATGATGATGTCGGCGGCGTTGATGATTAATATGTGATGGTGGCGTTGCTGGGTATGATGATGACGATGATGATGCGGATGATGGTGGTGGTGGTAAGGATGATGATGATGATGCTGAAGCTGAAGCCAATGCTGATGGTGATGGCGATGGTGATGATGCTGATGCTGCTGCTGATGATGATCATGATGATGATGACGACGATGACGATGACGATGACGATGACGATGACGATGACGATGACGACGACGATGATGATGATGATGATGATGATGATGATGATGATGATGATGATGATTATGATGATGATGATGACGGTTGCGGGGATGGCGAGGGGGAGGAGGAGGCGGTGGAAGAGGCAACGGATGGGAAACAAACGTAAGAACAACAAACGGGGTAATCCTGGCGTCCCCGCCATCCCCAACTGTCCTCCGACGATGTCTCCGAAGCGATGGGGGCTCAAGGAGGAGGTCCTTCTGGAGGGGGGAGGAGGAAGAAGAAGAGGAAGAGGAGGAGCATGAGAAGGAGAAAGAGGAGGAGGCGGAGGAAGAGGAGGAGGAGAAGCACAGGGGAGGAGGAGGAAAACGAGAAGGGCAAGGCTTCGTGGCTCAGGACGACGAGGATGCCCACACGGAAGGAGAGGAAGGAGGACATCCACCGCGAAGGGTAGGAAGGAACATACGGGCTCATCCTCTTCAACTCTCCCCCAACTCCTCCTGATCCCCCCTTCCTCTTCCTGTACATCCCCTGCTCGTCGCCCCACCCCTCCCCCTCAGGAGGTTCGCCCATGCCATCCTGTTCTTCCTGGATGCCATCCTGCTCGCGTCACCCCCGCCGCCATCTTTGAGGTGACGAGGAGGAGAGAGAGGAGGAGAAGCAGGAGGAGAAGGAGGAGGAGGAGGATAAGGTTGAGGAGGAGGAGGAGGAGGAAGAGGAGGATGGGGGCGGAGAAACAGGAGGAGGAGAAGGGGGTTCCATAGAAGGCGGTCTAGAAGGTTTTCGTATCCATGGGCCACAGAAACTGCATACAAATAAGCTGATTCACTCGGGATTAGATCATGGGGGAACGAAGAAACGAATACGAGGCGGGGGCGGAAAAGGAAACGGAAGATGAGGCGTATGAAGAGAAATGGAAACAGGTATTCTGCTACTGGTGATGGTGGTGATGATTATGGTGATGAATTTCCCCCGACTGACCGGTGGCAAGTATGAGATGACAACTCTAATGAAGCAAATCCTTCCAGCAATCGATCGGCAAACGAATTAAATACAGTGGGTCCGTGCTCACCATCAAAGTTCATATCCAGAAAGGGGAGTTATTGCCCAGGCAAAGAGTGGCAGAGAAACGGAGACAGATCAGCAATTAAGGCAGATACCACATCCGAAGAGGCCATGGCAGCCTCTGTTGTGAGGGGCTGGGGCGGGGCCGAAGTCGTAGTGATTCATCGGAAACCTGCGGCGCGCAGGCAGGAACGCAAACCAGCGGTGGCTCAACATAGCCCGACAATTGCCGTGCCGCCGACGTCTGTGTCAGGCGACCCACAAATGCCGAAAGGCCAAAACAACGACCGCATCAATTTGCCGACCTACTCCGGCATTGAAACGAGGCAGCGAGAGAAGCTTCTGGGGAACCCGCCGAAGATGCACGCGTGGCAGCGCCGTGGGGGCGCGAGGCAAAGAGAGCGAACGAGCAGGCCGGCGCAAATACACAGAACAGAGTGGGCAAACAGCGCGCTGAGACACAGTGCGACGCTCCCACGTCACGATGATGGGCTGTCAGGGACCGAACCAGGCGAAGGACTCGACCAAACGCCACAACGCGCAGGCCGCGGCACCAGCGCAGCGGAGCAGCAGCAGAGGGGCGCGCAGGATAGGAAGCACAGCCGCAGCAGCAACAGCAGAGACGAGCCAAAACAGCAAGGGGGCAAACGCACGGGCACAAAACGAACGCAGAAAACAACAAGGAGAGCCCCAACAAAGTATGTAGCCCACTAAACTTCATCGAGAACCTGCGCAGCGCAGGAAGAACGAATATCGCGCGGTCACAATGGCCATGGCACTCGAGATCTAATAAAACACACCTGTCATACCACTAGATTTTTTTGTTCGCGCCAGCCTTTACAAAACTCGCACCAGCTCGCTCATGCTTCGCACCAACTGAGCCTGCATCGATTACGACCAAGAACCAGCCGAGCGACCGGCAAATGCAACGGCGCCCCCGGCTCGCCAGCCGAACGACCCGTAAACGCAGCTCTTGGCGCCCCCGGCTCACCGGCCGAACGACCGTTAAATGCAGCTTTTGCCGCCCCTCTGGGGTTATAAAAAGCACCTGTCCTGCCACGAGAGCGTGATGGCCAAGCGTCTCCTTCGGGGTCGCCAGATCGACGGCCGCGCCGCAGGCGATCAGAAGCGAGAGCGGGAGACACGACAAAAAGAGAGCGACAGCGAGAGAGAGAGAGAGAGACAAACAAAAGAGAGGGATAGATATAGAGAGATAAACAAAGAAAGAAAAAAACGAGAAAGAAAATCGCGCGCCCCCGATATTGGGTGGACCAACCGCCACCTCTTAGCGACGGCACCGTGACCGGGCAGCCTGAACGTTGGGGTGGTGCCTACAATGCACTCGGACACGGGCTTTAAAAAAATGTTGACGGGGGGCAGACTGAAACTCCTGCGAAAGGAAGCCTGGACCAAGAGGACACCATCTAGAATGCTGGCACAAATCGAACGCTGATTCTGGTACGGCGGCGTCGATGCGAGAACCAAACGTCGGAACCGATTATCTCCGCTGAAGATCTAGGCACGGCACCGGGCCAGAGCTACGAAGCCCAAAGACATTTCCGCCTTCCCTTTCGAATTGGCCCGAAGATCCTGCTTACTCAATTCTTCCTGAACGGCATGGCGAGCCTTACCCATCTTGAAGAACAACAGGCGGTGCTGAGGAGACAGGTTACGACAAAAGCAAGGGGCCACGCGCCAGCGGGGTCCCGAGGACTGGCCGTCTGGTACGCCTCACTGAGCTTCCGAAAGTTGTCTGAGGAGCCCGACGCCATGGCTTGGGAGGGGAAGCCAAACGTGATTTTGAACAACAGACCCTACGCACGGATACGGATCAGTGTTCCTGCCGCCTCTGTTGCACAATTCGAGATGATGTCCTGGGCTTCTCGCTCGAGGGTCTTCGCAGTGAGACGATCCTTGCAACCAGTAGCGTGGAGCCGATGTGCATTTCCGAGCATAGTCTGCGAAAACTCGTCCGAACGACGCGTCCGAACGACTGTCAATCGCACGGCGTTTGCAAAGGACCGAATGAAAGGCGGGTGCTTTGGAAGCGGACATCTGATGAGCGTGTTCAACTGCATCCAGCCGGGCATGGGCTGCGCTGTGCTTAGCTAACGAGTCATCGGACCCGGTGCTCAAGTCATGAAAGGCTGACCTTGGACTGCGGTCGTGGCGCCGATGCCCGAGATCTTAGCATCGAGTATGTCCCGCCGCCTGAGGATGATCGGCAGACGTCCCCGTCAAGGTCGCAAGATCGACGGCCATGGCTGCACACGGTCAGAGGAACGCGCGCCCAAGGCGAGGTCCCCAGGGCCTCCGAGGCTGACTTTGGGCGCGAAAAAGGGGAGGAGGAGGAGGAGGAGGAGGAGGAGGAGGAGGAGGAAGATGAGGAGGATTGGGGGCAGGAGCTCGCACACCAGACGAGACAGGACGGATCAACAACACCACCTCTTGGCCACGGCGTTCGAGGCCTTTGGCTGCGATCGAGCTCGAACTCACAGGCCTCTGATTTCAAACTCTAGCCAACATGGCTTGAGCCGAAGCTGCTACGGATGATGATGCTGATGATGATGGTGATGATGATGGTGATGATGCTGATGATGGTGATGATGATGAGGCTGATGATGATGATGATGATGATGATGATGATGATGATGATGATGATGATGATGGTGGTGATGATAATGACGCTGATGATGGTGGTCATGGTGACGACGATGGCCAGGAGGATGAGGAGGATGAGGTGGAGGAGAAGGACGAAGAGAACCAGCGACAGTTT